CCCCCCCCAATGCCCTGACCGAATGTATCAATGTAACGTGTACTTGCAAAATAGCCTGAGAAACTTCGAAATAAACTACTTCAGTTCAAATCTGATCATTTGCCTAGCCTGCCTTGATTTGCGAAAGAATTCAATACCAAATAATACTACTGTGTTCCCTTGATCTTGTATACAAATCTCTTTTTCTGAACAAATTCGAACGAGCCTTATTCTGCAACTGATGAAACATCTTAATTCAATTAATACGTAAATGAGAAATACTTTTTGTCATTTATTCGTTCCTTTACTGGATTTATTTTTCTTTTGCATTTGTCATTTCATGGAATGGCGAATTCAGTGATTGTTCATGCCAGTGACCTATCCCATGGCACAGTTAGTATTACAATAAATTGAAACTTTAATTCTTGACCGTTCTCCAACTACCTTGTGAGTGGATGGCTGGCAGGTGCTCTGGTGTGGTTTGCTCCTTCTTTCCGATCCTACATCTATTTTCCTTATCTCCCCTCCCTTTTTAATGTGTTTGTTACTCACTTGTAGCACCTCTAATCTTCGACACTTATATGACCTTATTGTGTTGCAAGTGGCATAAAACTCTTAGTTCTCCTTGGCTCCTTCTTACTGTTGTCTTTCAGCCACACCCCTGATTTTCTGGTAGCAAAGATCAACACCTAGCTTTCTCGGACAAGGGCAAAAAATCTCGGAGGTCCCGTGTGCTAGATTGCGCACGTTTAAGATCCCTTGGTGCTCTAAAATCGTTAAAAGTTGGCTCTGGCCACTGCCAGGGCTAAATTCAAAATTTCCTACCAACTGAAAGTGTTTAATGTGTCCCGCGCGCTCATATGACCTTATGAAGTTGCAAGCGCCGTAACCACTTACAAACAGACCCAAAAAAAACAAAAACAACAAACAAACCAAAAAAATCCCTCTTACTTTAAGGAAAATAACCTTGTGTCTCCAGCCGCTGCCGACTGCGCCACCATCCAGAGCTTCAACGGCGCCCTGTCCTTCCTCACGGCCTCCGATATCAGCGCAATGAGCAACAGTGAGTTCACAGACTGTCTGGCCGAGTTCCAGACCACCTCTTGGGATAGCAGCCAGCTGGAAGCCTTCGCTGCTCAGCTCATTGATGTGAGTGGTTTCGGGGGAATGTTGCCTGGGAAACTGTTGCTGTACTGATCTTTTTCTTAAATAAATATATAATAAATAATTAACATGTTTATTTGTCCCGGAAAGACACTTTGGTTTACAAAGGCAAACATTCATTTATATACATAAATACATATTTATAAATACGTGCATACAAAAATACATGAACAAATGCAAACATAAATACACAATATTACACAAATACAGAACAGTTTAAAACCATGCCACTGTCGTTCACCACTGTGCAGCGCCCTGTATTTTGAGCTAGGGTTGTCGTGTCTTGCTCAAGGTCACACTCCAGTTTCCACCCATCCGATCCCCGTGTCACCGACACTTGCTTGGCATTACTTGAGTCTAAACTTACTACTCACTAAGACTTAGCCACTGGAGCCTCACTGTTTGGTGTTGTTGTGAGTCTACTCGTGCATGCATGCAAACACGTACATAGAATCTACGTGCACACTAACCTGTACACAAGCAGAGGTAGAGGAGGGAGAGAGAGAGAGAGAGAGAGAGAGAGAGAGAGAGAGAGAGAGAGAGAGAG